TGACATGCCCCTAAAGAGCGTTCAGCAGAACATCTAAACTGTTGCAATGTATCATTAAACCGTTTACAAAGCGCTGAGTTCTGCTGAACGCAGCCATTGATTCAGTTATCTTAGACTGATATTGCATCGTACGACAAGTATTGTCAGACGTGTCGATTGGGTGATGGATAGAATTTTCTTAAGGTTCTTAATTTTTCCTCAAAATATCCGACAACCAATTAAAACATTGGACAAGCTTGTCGTATGACGGTACAGATGTCTATATTAAACTAGATTGCTAACAGGCTATCTAAAAGTATATAACGGCTAGTGTCCGATAGAGTTTCCGTGCATGCGAGAAAATGGCCGCTATCGCCACATATTTTCACTACGTTTAGTCATAAAATTCTTTTGTTGAAAATGAGCAGAGCAAATAACGTCCAATATTATCTATTTTTTTATTACGATATTTTTTGATGCAATAAGATGCTGGCATTTTTGGTTTTACGACAGTAATTTAATGGCCACGTTGACTCACATTATACATTGTAAGTACTCACACAAATGACACGTCACACACAGGATCGCCGCCATTTTCTCGCATGCAACCGGAAACCTTACGCGACGCACGTTCGAAGCCTTTGTTAGCAATCTAGTTTAGTATAGACATCAGTATATGACGGTTAGGCGACAGTTTCCCGAAAAGTGGAGGGGATAATGTTAGTACCAAGGAAAATCTCTACACGGTATAATTTAAAGATCTGGGGTGCTTACGATAATGAGAGTAGAGCGAGTGAGATTTGGATCCAAAAGAATAGTATAATCACCCATCTATAACTGTAATATTCTATGGTCTGTTCTTGCTCCTGCTCTTGCAGTCTCATGAACACAGGAGCAGATCAGGGGCTCGATTCTTGATGGTATGCGAATGAGATACGCATGCGAAAATGTATAGTTCACGTTACGTATACTGTAGATTTTCGCATGCGTATCTCATTCGTATATCGTCAAGCATCGGGCCTCAGGAGTTCGTCTTACAAACAACAAAGGATAATGTATCATACTTAAAGTGTATTAATATTTTATCTTCTTTATTTAAAGAATTATGTAACATATTATTTCAGTTTATTAATTATTTGAGATTCTCAAACTCTTCTTAAACAAGGACTGAACCTGTATTAATAGTTACTTGTACTTGTCTCACGTCAGATGATAACACATCTAAGTATAAATTTAAGATAAAATATTAATACTCCATACAGCACTAAAGTTTGAAAAAGATTTCAGAAGAAAAGAATTTCTGAAAGAATTTCAGAAAGATCTCAGAAAGATGCAATGTTTCGGAAATCTTTCTGAAAGCTTTTTGAAACGTCTGTGCTGTATGGGACACTTTAAGTATGATACATTACCCTTTGTTGTTCGTGAGACGAACTCCTAATCTGCTCCTGGTTTTATGAGACTGCAAGAGCAGGAGCAAGAGCAGACTATAGAATATTACAGTTATAGATAGGAGATTATATTATTCTCTCGGATCCAGATCTCACTCGCTCTACTCTCGTTATCGTAAGCCCTCCTGTTCTTTATAACTGCACTGCTGCAATAAGTTAGAATGAGACAACTATATTTTTTCTCATTCTAATTTATTGTACCAGTTCAGCAGTACGGCTAAAAAGAATAGATCAAATATCACCCTAAGGCGTTCCGATACACTGCCAGTACTAGAAATTTATAGTGTACATAATATAAACTTTTCAATACACTGACAATGAATATATCGAAACGTAATTTTAATTTTGGCGATGCATGTAACCGATAGTATATTCGGTTTTCAAAATGGTTTAAATACTTTTTTTCGGTGCAGTTCGGAACGTAATCTCCCATACAGCACATAAAGGTTGCAGGAACATTGCATAGAGTGCTTTCCAATTGCTTAACACATCTTGACACACACGTACACAAAACCAATTTATTGGTCACATATGATCTAAAATATCTTGTAAGATAATATGCAACCAATAAACTGGTTTTGTGTAACACAGTGTACGCAACTGGAAAGCAACCATAGATATTACATGGAAACCTTTGGTCTTAAAGTGAGACAAATATATGTTTTCTTACTCTAACTTATTGCACCAGTTCAGCAGTGCAGCTGAAAAGAACAGACCAATTGTAACATTCCATATATGTTGCGAAACGTTGATGCAACGTTGCAGCAATGTTGAAATGTCTGCTCTCAGAAACGTTGCAATAAAACTTTGTAGCACCTTTACGGAAAAAATACGAAAAAACTCAATTTTGAGTGTAAACACCCAAAAACTGGAGATAAACACCTAAATTTGAGTGTTAACACCCAAAATTGAGGGTTTTTCGTTTTTTTTTTTCGTATTTTTTTCGTAAGGGCAATGTTACGGTGGAATGTAATATAATAGTTGCATTGAGCAGAAGAAGCAGCTTTCCACTGCGCTGTTAGCAGTTTTGCAACTGTTGTAAGAATTTCTGCTGAGAGACACTTAGTGGTTAACGCTTTTCTATCTTGTTTATTAAGTGGTCCAGCATGTTATAAGTATGTTAGAAGAAATAGCGACTGCTTAGTAAACATGTTGACATAAACCATCGATGACGTTCAGTAGAAAATCTTACAATTGCAAAGCTGCTGGCAGCGCATAATAAAGTTAAACTGCGTTTTTTTTTAAATGCATAAGTATATGAAGCATGTTATATGGTCTGTTCTTTTTAGTTGACTTGGTTGCACTAGTGCGAGAAATATACACCAACTAAAACATGAGAATTTCGTACATATGCTTCATACACTTTAATGTGTATGTACATTAACTAGCGCAGCCATTTCAGCTGAAAAGAACAGACCAATAAATAACTTGGTATGCAGACGCTATGAAGGCATAATAAGGATATAAGAAAATATAGACAGAAGTAAATACTTAAATTTCTGTGATTAAGATAAAACGTATATATCATACATGTATTATGCATAATTTATAGCATTATAGTTTTCAATTATTTATAATGTTTCTGCAATGTTATTTTAACATTTCCGATGGAATGTTACATTTCTTGTCTGTTATGTTTCTGCAATGTTACGTTAAAATTTGAAATGATGTAACGTTCCCGTAATTGCAAGCTTCTATGCTGTATGGACGATGGTTCAATGGGAGAACTTAAATTCTGAAAAATTGATTAAAAACAATTTTTCTCATTGAACTCCCAATGAAAGATTTTTCATACATAATTATGTAAAATTATATAAAATTATATATTTTACATTATTATATATAATTCTGTATGAAAGGAGAAGAGTTCCTAAGGCCGATTTTTGGCACCCTCTGAAATTAAACAAAAAATATTTTAAATGTTATATTTTTGTAAGATCTATTGAAATAAAGTGATTTTAGTCTAAACGGACATATTTTGGTGTCTGTTTATACTATAATTCTAATTAATCCCATTTTTACCACCAACGCTCTTATGTCACATGTTATCTTCTTACATTTGTGTGTGCGTGCGCGCGCTCGAAACTACGAAAACACTATTTGTGTAGATATTTAGCAATATACGTTTTTTTTTTAATCATACTGCTCTATAGTGTTTTTGTAGTATCGAGCCACACACACCACACAAATGTAAGGAGATGATATGTAGGTGACATAAGAGCGTTGGTGATAAAAATGGGATTAATTAGAATTATAGTATAAGCAGGCACCAAAATATGTCCGTTTAGAATAAAATCACTTTATTTCAATAGTTCTTACAAAAATAACGTTTCTGATATTTTTGGATCAATTTCAGAAAGTGCTGCTCAGATAGCAGACTCACGTCAAAATGACATTCAAATCTAATCAGTTCATGATAAAAAATGACCAAAGAATGACCAAAAATGTCGTGAAAATGTCGTCAAAATGACGATCTAATGTCACAAACCGATGACGACATTTTAAGACGACTTAATGACGTTTTAATAACGTCTCTAAACGTCAATAATACATCATTAAGATGTTGTACAGAAACGTCATTAAGGCGTCGCAAAAAGACATTTTAAGACGTCATTTGACATCAATCGACCAGTTATGACCAGTTTTTTACGTTATTTTGACGTGAGTCTGCTATTTAAAACCGTTAAAAACCGGCCTTAGGGACCCTCCTTCTTTGTCCATACATGTTAATACATGTTACTTATATATAATCATGTATAATTATATATATAATTTCATACATAATTTTACATAATTATGCATACAATTATATGTAATTATATGTGGACAAATTTTATATATAATTATGCATAAAAAACTGATATTAAGCATATTAAGGGACACCTCACTGATAACCTTGATCTTCATATATGTTGTCAAAGACATGTCTCTGAGTAACATTTATAAAGTGTTAGTTGGCGGTCTCTCTTTATTAAAAAGTTATGAATAAAAGAAGTTGACTATTTGGGCTGCACTTTTCCGATTGTATGTATGTATATATTATATACAGACATCATACCACTTGCACAAAGTACATGTGTATGCGCGGGGGAGGGACTCCGCCCCTCCCCAAAAACTAACGCTAACCTAACTCTAACCTATCTAATGCAATATTCTAAACTGTACATAATGGGTTTGGTTAGTGTTAGTTTTTGGGGAGGTATTTTTTGGGGAGTTTTTGGATTATAGGCCCAGTAAGTCTAATCATTAGGCCTACTGGGGATACCACTTAAAAAAAATGCATCGATAATAGTATCTTATGCTACGTGGAAAGCTATTAGGAACAAATTCATCATACGGTATTGAGCTTCGCACGGCTTGTACGCTGCGCGTGCGGTGAAGACGTAAGGGGAATAGCGCTGGGCGGAGTGAGCTGAAAATCGGCCGAAGTGTGCAGATCGTGCCGAGCTCTGATATAATATACATATATATATATATATATATATATATATATATATATACATACATATAATCGGAAAACTACAGCCCAAATAGTCAACTTCTTTTGTTCATAAAGAAATAAAGAGAGACCGCCACCTAAAATCTTCAGAACGCTATTCAGGAGGGTTATCTTTATCATATATGTGAAGGTCAAGGTCATCGGCGAAGTGTCCCTTAATATGCATAATTACCGAAATTTCATCAGGCCATTACCTGTGTTCTAAACTACATTGAAGGATATTCTTGGTTTAAAGTATATTCAACTGGCTCGATATTTATTTATTTTGATAGCGTATCATAGCAACTTAGTATACCGTTAATCACAAGCATAAATTATAATATTATGATGATTTAATAAAAATTGTTATTTTATATGGATATCAAACGATCCGTATAAACTAATACAATGAGGATGCTTTCAAATTATGTTTAATCTTAACTGATAGTTAACTGGCAGAGTTATCAACTGAAATTGCTATTGGAAAAAAATTTACGGAAAAAAAGTAGTTTATTAATAAGTTGGTTATTCTGCTAGTTAACTGTCGGTCAAGATTAATCGGAGTTTGAAGAAATCCAGGTAGCAGATTTACGTCAAAATGACGTCCAAATCTAGTCAATTGATGATAAAAAATGATCAAGGAATGACCAAAAATGTCGTGAAAGTGTCGTCAAAATGACGGTCTAATGTTACAAACCAATGATGACATTTTAGGCGACTTAATAACGTTTTATGACGTCTCTAAACGTCAATAATACATCATTAAGACGTTGTACAGAAACGTCATTAAGACGTTACAAAAAAGATGTCTTGAAGACGTTGTTATTTAGTCACTTGACGTCAATCGACTAGTTATGATCAGTTTTTGACGTCATTTTGATGTGAGTCTGCTACTTGGGAAGTCAACCTTACACGGATTTAAATCACTCCAGGAGCGATTAACTCGTTGTAACATGATAGGTCGCTCCGTTATCCACTTTTTTCCGCTCAGTTTTTAATTATTTTGACGAATTTTTTAACGTTAAGTACCGGTCTTTTTGTTTTTGTAGAATCTCTACTACATGAAAAAAGTAAACAACCGTTAATTTTTACCTGCATAATTACTATAAATAAACAAATAGTCAAAATTTATGCTTTTTATGACAAATAATTTTCTACTAAATTGTTATCAATATTGAAACAGCAATTTAGGCACTTATTTAGGACACCCTAGAGTATTTTTTAGAACTTTATCAAATTTTTTGCTGTTTTTTTTATAAATTAATTAATTATAAAAAAAAGAATGAATATCTCTTATAATACTGTTCTAGGGATTTTTTAAGTCACTGAATCCTAATTTTAAATCAACATTTTCAAATTTTTAAAACTTAAGATGGTGGAATTAAAATCTCAGATAGAACACAAAATCATTTTGATATCAAGATGATATCATTTTGACATTAATATCATGAAATTATCGTGAAAATGGTTTGATATCAAAATGACATCATTTTTATATCATTTGACGTTATTTTGACTTTTGTATGACTTTATGTTCTACCTGGGATGGAGTCCCATGGCACGTATTTTCGCGAACGCTTAACCGCGTAACTGATCATATCTTTCTATTCTTGTAGAAGTTCCAACAGAAATATTAATTGTTGCAATTTATTGGTTACGCACTTACGCAATACGTACAAAATATATGCCATGGGATTTCACCTTTAACATGAAATTTAAAATTTTGATTTTTGATAGTAACCATTGACTCAAAAAATTGCTAAGTACAAAATTCCAAATAAATCGGTCTGATACAAAAATTTTTGACACAAAAGTTTAATAACATTATGAACTCTTTTAGGTTACTAAAATTCAAATTTTAAGTTAATATAATTGTATCTATTTTGTGTCTTTGCTTTTGTTATCATCATTGTCAGATGAATTGGATGAAAACAAAATACTTGACATCGATTGCGAAATGATAATGATATGTCATTTTATTTTCATTTCTGTTTGTAATTAAAATTCAACTAAGGTTGCGTTCCAAAACAACCTGTTTGAAGAAAATTTTACTGAAAATCCATATGTTATATATACTATTGATTTTCGGAAAAATTTTCTCTAAAAAGAACGTTTTGGAATACAACCTAAAATTTGATCTATTTTTAGTCGAACATACGTGTGATAAATTGGGTTAGCTCCCGAAGCGTTCCAAACTGGATTTAACTGAAAACTATAAAATACGAGGAGGCGTTTAATATCGAAAATATTTTGTCGATCGAAGCTTGTAAATTTTAGACAAATAATTACATTTTTATTCATTTTTTTCGAACATAATCGACGACATAATCACATTTAGTAGTTAATCGATTTTAGTTTTCCTCTAGATGTTAATTTCGCAAGCTGCATCAAAAGTTATTTTTTTATATGATTCGAACGAATTTTCTGTGGGTATCCTTAACACATACACACGTATTGTTGAGAAAAACCCAACGAAATTTAAGATTGATAACAAAGAGTTGACGGTTCAGCGGAGCTTCATCGAGCAGGCGCGTGAGGAAGTTAAAGTAATTAACAACTAATGTTGTACTGTCAAATCCATTGTTGCATAAAATTAATGCTGTTTTTTATAAATATTTTGCAGGTCATGAAAGATAAGTTAAACTTGAGCAGAGGTCGGGACCGCGACAGTACGGCGAGACAGGTTTGTACATACCATTGTAATTACGCCCATGCAGCACAGAAAGTTGAAACAGCGTTGCTGAGATATTGTATATATAATGTTGAATATTCAAATATTCCACTGAAATATATACTACCTGGAACGCGCGCTGTCTCTTGAGGTGTGCGGGATGAGAGAGAGATTCCTTGTTTCCTCTCTTATCCTTGTCTGGTTCATAGTATAGTCGATAGTGGACAGAGAATGTGATACAATCCAAGTTAAAAGTTAGAGATAATATAAAAAGCAGCGACCATTGAATGGCAATGACTTAAGTTTATGAACGAAAGTTTAAGTTATAAAAAAATATATATTTTTTTTCTCATTTATTAATATTCATTTATCGACTTATTATTAAGAAAAACAAAGCAAAGATGGTTCCTAATTCGAAGATTCAGCTTATATTTAGAAATCAGCCAACTTAGTTGTTGGTTCAGACTGTACTAGACAAATACAGAGCGCTGTTCTAGACCTACAAGCATGCTCTCTCTTATCCCGCAACACTCAAGAGGTAGCGCGCGTTGCAGGTATATATTTCAGTGAAATATCCTCACAGCACCGAATATTGCAGTAAGGTTATGAATAGGTTACAAGTTTACACATTTTAATGAGCATGTTACTGCAATCTGCTATTAACCTTACAAGATAACCTTACATTATAATATTGTCATAAAGTTACTATTATCTTTAATATTTCAGCTTACATGTAATTATTTCACTTTTTGTGTATCCTGAAAATATTACACAATTGGAATATAGTTTACATGAATCAGTTAATTGTATATACAAATTTTTTTCATAAATAAAATTTTTTATTAAGAAAGTAAATATAACTAAATTAAACTAAAATATTATTTATAAAATTAATCCTAGGTAATATTCTCTCTCTGTTTCTCTCTGTCTCTCTCTCTCTCTCACACTACACGTTCCAAATGCTTTAAAGAATCGTAGAGACCAATATTTATCTTTCAGTCAGCGCTCTAAAGCATTTGTAGTATCAATACTTAGGTAAACATATTTTATATAAATATTTTATGCATATATCTTTGACTTCTTTTTTATTATATAAAATATTTGAACTAAATTGTTTATTTTTGTTGTTGTACTAAATAATATTTTAAGAAAATTATAATTACTGCTTCGGCTGCATATGTGGATAATACAGAACACTTAGTATCAGTTAAAAAAGCAGCTAAGATGATAGACTACCCAGATAACACAGAGATGAACAGAAATTCTTAGAGAATTCATTTTAAAGAATATATACACAATTAGAAAAATAAATATCTGAACAATTCGTAAAGAAGCAACCACAATAAATTCGTCTTGAGGTATTCCTCAGAAGTTTATTGTAGCGAATACTTTACGACTTAATTCTTAGAACACTCTGAGAATTCATGAGCAATTACAAGTGTTTTATTTGTTACTATTTCTTGTGGCTGCATGTAGCAGATACACATCATTTTCAGTGCTTTGTATATTGTTATATTGTATGTATATTGTTATAATTGGAACTTTCTTTGCAAATGATATGATAAAAAGAAAAGTGATACTATTGAATTGAATCGTGAGAATATGGTTGAATTGGGTTTATATTTTACAAAGTGCTACTTTATAACTTAAAAATATGACTATTTTAATATAATTCTTTTTTTATTCTATGATTCTTGTACAATTTTAAATTCCTTTTATGTAGTGAAAAGTTGGATGTATTTTAATTATTTCAGTTGAAAGAGAACTGTTACTCATCAAACATCAACAAACATTAACGTTACATCAATATTATGATTTTCCAGTTAACTGTAAGTGTTACATATATGTTGTACGTAATAGTTATATTGTTGAGCGAGAATTATAATATTAATGTAACGTTACTTTTAATCCGTAACAGATACCATGCTTTTTAATCAAGCTATAGGTACCATATCCGGCGGACCCCAATAAATTTTTGTCATTTTTAACATGATAATAAAAGGTAGAAAGAAAAACGCTTTATAGTTCGAAAATAATACTTTACGAATATTGTATTACAACTAGACATATATAATAACAGTCTCAATTTTTTAGTAATCTAAAAGAAAATATTAATTGATTATAAAATGAACACAATGTGGACAGTGTTGAAATAAAATACACTGAAAGACAAATAATCGGAAAAAGAAAAAAAAAATTATGTTTTAATCTAACTCTACAAATTATAGATTATATAAAAAATATAAACAAGTAATGTTAAATTAAATACAATATTAAAATCTTAGAGGGTTTTTAGATGCAATCGTTACAGATAGTGCTTGCACATTTGGTGCATACTAATTAATTGCATCTAACATATACTTCTTTGGACTTAATCATATCTTTATTTATTACATCTTACTGTAGATGGCAAAATAATTTTAGATCTTTCAATTTCTTTAATTTTTAAAATAGATGAAATTATTAAACGCAATGGCTTATGAATATATTGAGTTGTAAGACGTCTTTTAAGTTCTACTAACTGAAAAGCAAGAGTTTTTACTCTTTTGTGTGAAGAATGAGTTATATTGAGCTGAAGATTAAGAAAATTATTTTCATAAAAGTAACGTTAACAGTACCATGGAGTCACTGTGACCCCAGAAAAACAAATGCATATAATTCATAGCTACTTACAAATAACTCGATGATCTTTTCTTCTGTCACACTGAAAACTGTTACTCGAAAGATACTGAAGATATTAGCGCCATACAATGGATAGTTTAAGAATTATCACGAAAATAAAATTAGTTGGGGTCCCTGGGACCCCATGGTACCTTACAGGTTAAAGTGGATGTTTATTGAATATCCTTCCAGTAAACACTATCAGTAACATAACATCAATGTTATAATTTCTTACTTAAGAATGTAACTAACACGCATTATATTGTATTTATATTGTTGAATAGGAAATTATAACATTGATGTTACTGTTAGTTAGTATTTACTGGGTTTGCATTTCTCTTTCTGTATATAAATATTATTCTTTTTGAATTCATAAAGTATACATTTATGTTCATATAGTATAACTCTATATTAATACTCTAAGAAGTTCTGAGGAACTCCGATCATTGTGCATGTAACTTCCTAAATCATTCTTATAGTATTCTTCCACGAATTCCTAAAGAAGTACAATTCAGGAAAGGAGAAAACTTTAGGAACACTTAAAGAATTCATCGTGCTATCTGGGTAGAAACCTAGAGGTATCTGAAGTTCTCGAGTTTGCGTCCGACCAGTACTGAGTAAATTTTCAGGTGTGGAAATAGTGAGAAATCAAATATAGAAAAGTTAAATTTCATTTAAAATCAACATAAACTGACTAGTTGAAGATATATCATATAAATTCTGTTATTAATTGCTCGTTAATATAATGTTTTGTACAAGGTTTTGTAATGGAATGAGTATGGACGAACATTTTTATGTCGTTAGAAGGTTAATAGCTGGTTTATTAACCTCCGTGTAATGTTATCATTTTACAATTTAAGGTTGCTATAACCTTATGACAATATTAATGTACTGTGAGGGTATAAATATCTTTCCAACGTTGAATCTATATTGTTTCTTCTACACTGATACTAATTTATGTTGCTATAACATGGAAACAACACTGAACAAATTATTATGTTTTGAAATTTAGGTAGAGATACTGAAAAAAAGTTTTATATATCTTTTTAAATGACGCATTGACATTTTTTCTCGAAAATCAAAGATTTCATCGAAAAAGGTTTCAAACAATTTGTACAGTCTAATAATGCTATTCACTTTGACTTTGTTAAAATCATGTGAAGTTTACATTTAATTTTTTAAGTAGAATCATATAGTTCCTTTAATTTAATTCGATTTCTTTAGTTATTCTGTGTATTGGGAGAAAATAATCGGAATGTAAATATTTTTCGAAATATTTTACATTATATCCTGATATTTTTTAGTACAAAATATGGAATATCTTATTAATTATTATATTAAACTATTATATTAACTATTATATATGTTTAACTATATTACTTTAATATTTTTATAAATTGAATAACGGAGAAAATTAATTGGTATTCTTAATCTTTGCATACTAATGTTTCAATAAATTTACAAAATCCAATTTTAGCATAAAAACTACTAACAGTTGTAAAAGAACTTTTTAACGCTAAACGCGGCCAATGTTAAATCAATATTTAACAACATTAAATTGCAACGTTTACTAGACATTACAATCCAGCGGACATTAGACATTTCTACAATATCTTTTCAACGTTGAATCTACATTTCAAAATGTTGATGCAACATTGCAGTGTCGCAACGCAACCTTTCTGAAATATCCTAAGTAGTACAGTAATGTCAGAAGACGTCAAATTAACGTTAATTTGACGTCCTCTGACGTTAATATGACGTCTTTTGACATTACTGTGCTACTTGGAGTTGATTCAACGTTTGCGTGCTATATGGATATTTTGTATCCTATTATATCATAACAATATACTTTGGTATATACACATACACATACACACACAGGGTACTCATTTTTAAACTTTCAATCTCAATATTTTTAAAAATATACCTTCTGCGAAAAAATGTTTAATACAAAAGGGTTGTAGAGTTTTGAAGGGGATATAAAAGATCACTTGTCCGACATTGAATGGAGGCGTTAAGGTCACGCCAAAGTCAACTTGAATTTTTTAGATGGAACCCCCTACTTTATATTGCATATTCTTGTAGTTTATTTCGAGAACTTTCCAAAACATTATAGTAACGTATTTTTTCATTAAATATTTTTTAAGTAATGAAACTTAAAAGTTACAGTATTACTGCCATTAGTACTCAAAATGTATCACGCGGAGGTTGCTCGATCGAATTTACATACACACATACATATACATGAAAAAGGTGTAAATTCGACCGAGCAACCTCCGCGTGGTAGACTTTGGGTGATGCTAATGCCGGCGGGACTGTAACTTTTAAGTTTCATTACTCAAAAAGTATTTAATGAAAAAATACGTTATTATAGTGTTCCGGAAAGCTCTCAAGATAAGCTACAAGAATATGCAATAATAAGTAGGGAGTTCCATTCAAAAATTCAAGTTGACTTTAGCGTGACCTTTACGCCTTTATCCGTTAGAGAAATAGTAGTCTTTTATGTTCCTCTCAAAACCCTGTAACTTTTATATTAAATATTTTTCCGTACAACGTATATTTTTAAAAATATTGAGGTGAGAAGTTTTTAAATAAACACTCTGTATTTGTATGAGAGAAGTAAAAAAAAAAAATATATATATATATATGTATATATATTATATACAGAGTGCCCCAGACTCTTCTCCGCATATTTTGTGAAAATGTAGAATGGATTGAGATAAACAAAAGTCTTATACCGTTTGCGATGTTTGTAATAATAACCGAGAAATTAATTGTAGAAGATTAAGGAAAAAAACGCAGGTTGAATGGTTGAAAGAGGAGCGCTCGCGGCTTAATAATATAGCGCGCGGATATCGGCGCACGGTGATTAGAAAACAACATACCATTACCTATACTTATATCGCTGCACTCCTACATCTCGTCTCGGCACGGTATGGTAAGATGTAGGATCATAGCGATATAAACCGCTGACATCTGCCTGCTATATTACTGGGTCGTGAGCGCTCCTCCCTCAACCATTCAGCGTGCGTTTTTCTTTAATCTTTTACAATTAATTTCTCGGTTATTATTGTGAATATCGCAACGGTATAAGACTTTTATGTTTACCTTAACCCATTCTACATTCCCACAAATATGCGGAGGAGAGTCTGGGACATTCTGTATATAAGAGTCGCGCTCTGTGTGATCGCAAAATACTATCGGAATATAATTATTACAAATTTCATTAACACACAGTAATATTATTATTATTTATTTATGTATTATAACATAAAACTTTGTCTAATAATTTAATAGTAATAACAGCGTGTTTAAAAATATGAGAGAAGTAAAATATAAAATTAAAGGAAGATAATAAATTATATGTATTTGAAATTAACCAATAAAAAATAATTTTGAACTGTAGATTTTTTCAAGAATCAATTATATAATCTTTTTTATGGATTTAAAAATTTAAATTTAAAAACTTGCGCGCGCGTTATAGAACCGAAGTACTAGCGACATCTATCAGTGACATAGTTAATCCTGTCAATGTTGAAAAATAATTTCACTATTGACGATATGTTCAAGTGCGTTAGTCGCGTAACCTCAAAAAGTAATGTCGGTCTTATCAATGGATAAAATTATTTTAATAGTTCACGTATTATAAAAGTAAGGAATAGGTTCACACGCTCGGACTAACACAATGGTATGCTCTCTATTTCACTAGAGAGAGTATATTAACTAATAAAAAATCTTAAAATTAAATTTCATACTAACGTTCCTGGTTTATGATATTTCTGATTAATTATTACAGATATTGTAGCCCTTGTCATTACTTATAGTACTTCTGATATTTTTGTACACAATTATATATATGTATTTATTTAAATAAATGTTATATATAATCTTATAAATATTTTCTACTTTCAGCCACTTTTGGATAATAGTCCAGCACGAATGCCAACAAATCATGGTACAACTAAGTACAGCAAACTGGAGAATGAGATCGATAGTCCGAATAGACAGTTTCTCAGTGACACAATGCAACAGCAAAGTGCCATGATAAGGCAACAGGATGAACAGTTAGACATGATTGGTGAGACTGTTGGTACCTTGAAAACAGTATCCAGGCAGATTAACACCGAATTGGATGAACAAGCTGTGTAAATAAACTCTATCATCTACAAAATTTTATTTTAATTTTGTGCATGTTTTAAGTATACTTTCTTATTGATATCAAAGATAAATGTTGAATACCTTCCTAATTCAATTAAATTCTAAAATGTTATAAAATATGAGATTGCTTCAACTGTCAAAAACTAGGATGACCTATTCAATAATTGAACATCACCCAGTGAATGAATAATTTGCAATATTTATTATAATAAGATATGTAGTACAATTTTATTGTTTAAGTAATTAGAAATAACTTACAAGTTATATGATTATATTAACAAAAGTGTGCAAAGGCTTAATCTAGTCCTGCCTGGCTGATAGTTTAATAGAAAATGAATATTGAGAATAATGTTAATATCTTCTCTCATTCCAAAAAGATTATAATTTATGCATGTGAAAGTCAAGAGAATATGTATGTGCGAATTGAGATAGGAGCATATATTGCACTGACTACATGAACTGCCCGAACTTGAAGATGTAATTTATTACTCTCTTTCTCTCTCTCTCCTCCTCCTCTCCCATATATATATATATATATATATATATATATATATATATATATATATATATATATATATATATA